TAACTGTAGGTATATATATATATATATATATATATATATATATATATATATATATATATATATATATATATATATACGCACGCACGCACGCACGCACACACACACACACACACACACAAACACACCTTTTTGGGTTTCTTCTGTTGAACACTTTCCTAATAGGACAAAAATGTCTATGAAAGTCAATTGATGCCAGCAACCAGCATTTTTCAGAATATTTTCTTTTGTTTTTGTAGGAATGCAATGTAACTACAGCAGTTTAAATTGTAGTTTTGCTGAATTACTAAAAAGTTAATAGTATCATGGTAAAAAAAAGTTACGTTTTTAGTCAAACAATTCTTCTGCAATCTTATTCTAAAACGGAAATAAGGGCAATATGAAGCAAATGAGTGTTAAGTTAAATCAAAAGTAATTCACAGAATACTTGAAAACAAAATGATTTAACAACAATAATGTGCTATGGTTACAATGAATTATTTACAAAACAACTATAAAATTATAAAGCATGACATAATAAAAACTTGATATTAATTGTATGCAGCTAAAATGCAAAACAAAAAGAAAATGAAAGAAACAAAAAACAGAGAGCATGAGCCCCAAAGAGAGCGAGATAGCAGTAGAGCCAGAGAAGATGGGCTCCAGACCAGAAAAGACCAGAGCAGATGAGCAGAAAAGCAAAAGAAATAGACCAAAGTTCACAACCTATTTTTTTGTTGTCCTTGAAAATGTGATTAAAACCCAAATAGTGAAACATTTTGCTGACCAACCCAAAGCTTTGTCAGTATGTGACCACATTGTAAAACCCCTAATACTCACACATCTTAGCCAGGCCCTGGGGCCTCATGTACAAAGACTTGCATTGAATTAAAACTAAAACATTGCGTACAGAAAATGCTGTAAATGTGCGTATGCAGTAAAAAAAAATCAGATGTATGAAACACTGTGTACGCAGAATCCCACGCATATTCTCTTTGTACATCCAAAATAACGTGAAATTGAGCGCAAAAAAAAACCCTCCCTGTTTTCTCCCCCGTATAAATATGACTTCACTTGACTATATATAATGACTCCACTTTGGCAAAACCAAACGAAAAGCAATGGCAAAAGCAAGCAAGAAGAGAAACTTCATCTAATGTGAATTGGAGGTGCTCCTATCTGAGGTAGACCGGAAAAAAAACTGTTATTTGCAAGTTTGTCGTCCGGAATTAATAACAAGAAAAAAAATAGAGTGGGAGAATTTAACTGACACGGTTGACACAATGGGGTCTGAACATTGCACTGTGAATGAATTAAAAAAGAAATAGTCCGATGTAAAGGTGCAGGTTAAGAGGAGAATAGCGGTGCACCGTCAAAGTGTGAACCGAACAGGCGGGGGAACAGGGGATGCTGAACTAACACCCTTTGAGGAGAGAGTTGCCTCGATTGTGGGCACCACTTTACTGTCTGGAGTAGTATTCGTGTTTGTGGAAGGCACAGATGTATTAGAAATACTTTGTTAGGGTAGTATAGCAGCACCCCTTTGCTCATATCAAGGCAGTGCCACCGGCATTTCAGCTGCCCAATCGCCCGCTCTACAACTGACGGAGTGCGAGAATGGGCATCATTTTATCTGTGCCCTTGGTCAGTTTGTGGGTTGTTAAAGGGGGTTAACAGCCACATCTTTAATGGTTAACCGCAGTCTCTTGATATGGAGTTAAATAATTACGCTCAATAATAAAAAAAAAAAACTTAGTTGGAATAATATCTTTAAATACTTCACTCACCAAGAAGCCACACATCGCGAACCCTGCCACCTTGGAGCCTCCTTGCTGTCTCTCTTTCCAAATTTGAACAGAAAGAGCTCCAAGAGGATAGCTCTTGGAAATCTGAACTGGCTAATAAGCCAGTCATCATCGTGGGCCAGAAAATCACTGAGATCCCTAAAAGATTTGTTCCCTTCAGATCCGACCATTGACAATGTCCTCTAATAAGGAGGCACACTTGCAATATAATATCCCGAAAGATGGTTCTGGTCAATTAAGGCACTGGTTATTGTGCTGATATAGGTGCAGATCTTAATTTTTGTAAAAAATTTGTTTTTAACCAGTAATTTAATGCTGGGCGTGTTATGGTGATTGACAGTTGTGATTGACAGATTCTCAAAGCAGACGTCGGAGCTTTCGGGAGGAGATTGAAGTGTTATTATTCCATTTTTGTGTTATTTTACCATGATAAAATGAGTTCAGCAGTAAACTATACTTTCTGACATACAGGATCTGGTGGTGATTTTTTTGCTGATACACGCCTAACCTAGACATGACGAGGAAAATACAGGAGATCGCTAGATAGCAGTAATTCTCTTCATGGGTCTGAAACAATAATTAGGAAGACAAAACTAATGTTAGCCTATGTCCAGATCAATCTCCTGTAACGTTATTTGAACTTGAGTCAAAGGACGTCTCTGTATTTTGAGTTTCGTTATGTTATTGACTAAATCTATTGAATTTGCTGCATATTAATGTTCTATAAACTGAATCTTATATAACTAGTAGAGCTGTAAATGCTATATATTATTTTTATACATCATTCACCCTTGGCTTTCCATTTGAAAACTCCTAATAAACATTAAAATGAAGGTAAATTCTTCTTAGTCAGATATTTTGCCAGATATTAAGGCATTGAAAAAAAAACAAATGAAAACGGAAGCAAAAAAGAATAAACAATATACAAGCGATGTTGCAGCAGCTGATAGGCCTATATCATATAGACATCCACTGTCACGGTTGGTGAGGGGAAAAAAGGAGCGAGGACTCAAGTGCAAAGAAACAATGGGTATTTATTAATAATAAAATAAAAATAAAAGGCAAAACAAAACTACCCCGAGGGGGAAAACATTAACAAAACACACAAACTTGGCTGGGCTGACAAGACAAGGCAAGACTGGAGCAGGAACACGGGGAGTGTAGACAACGAACTGGCAAAGGACTGAAAACATGAGGGGGATTATAAAGCAAAAAGTAAATTGACACACAGGTGAACATGACAAACTAATAATGAGTAAACAAGGAGGGTGGGACTAGACAATAGATGGGAGAGCGCATGACACAGAGAGACAACACAAGCCATGCGCTCACAAAACACAGGACAAGAACATGCAGCCAATGAGAGAACTCATTAACCGCATGTTCATGACAAGACAAGCACAACACTGAAGCACACGACAAAAGCATGTGACCACAATGTAAACACAGAGCCACGTGCTTTGACAACAGACGCAAGACACGAGCACACGATGAATAAAAACACTCACCGTGCGCTCACACACGCAGCGTGCATGCTTCATCCCAGCGCCGACCAAAACCGAAACCAACAAGACTGAGACGCTGGGAATGAAACACCACGCTGCAGACAGACGAAAACAGAAACACGAGTACAAGAGCGCGCGCGTCTGAGGGTCGCAGAGCGCGCGCGGCCTCCAAGCAGCAGCGCGCACACTCTGCGTACACCCACGACGGCGCGCGCGCACACAGAGACAGAAACAGGACCAGACATGGGTAGTGTCCGAGCTCTGCCACCAAAACAAGAATTTACAAGACTAGAGTGGCAGAACCCTGACATCCGTTGATGTATTAAAGAGCCCATATTATACATGAAATAAGGTCATATCTTGGTTGTAAGGGTCTCCAACAACAGTCTAATATGCATGCAAGGTCAAAAAACACTTTCATGGTCTTATAATCTGCATTTATTTTTATCTAATTATCCCAGCGACTCCTGTATGAATCGTCCAGTGATTCATTTGTTCCCAAACCCCTCCTTAGCGCGGAGCTAATCTGCGCTGATTGGACCGATGACAGTCTGTCGCGATTGGTCGACTGCCTTCAGTCAGAGAGGGAAATGGCCAATAGCTAATCAGCAATTTAAAAAGTAATCACAGTTCATACACGCTCGATAGTGTAGGCGTGGACTTTAGCTGCCACACTATGGCGAGTGGATAGTGCCACGGATAACCGAACGAAGGAGACAGTCGTGTACTCGCCATACCACACACACACAAAAACACACACACACCTCCGGATGACAACGCTCCCGCTTCAGCCCGCACCCGCCAGGTTTTAGCCTGAGAACCCGCTCCGTTTTCTGCCCGCCGCGCCCGGTCCCGCTAGAGCGGAGAACACAACCAAATATCACCCAGTATACAGTCCAGACAGCCAAGCTGTCTGTACACACACAGCACAAAGTACACAGAGCTCGTTCGTTCGTTCGCTCTCTCTCTCGCTCTCTCTCTCTCTCTCTCTCTCTCCCCGCGCCAGATTTCTGCGGCGCGGGAATACATTTCCGAATAAATCGCGGGAGCAGAACTCTAGCACGGAGCTCCATAAACAAACAGCACGCGTCGCGTTTTTAACGTGACTTTGCACGCGATAAGATAATATATCCAGTTAACCTGATACAGTACACGCGGTTACAAGTAACAAATCACAACTAAATACATTTGCAAGCTAGAGTCAACGAGGCAACAACTTTAACCGCACGTACTTACACTTGAGAAATGTAGGAAGAAACCCATCCTGACGTCCACCAGTTACTCTTTACTGATCCTTCCTTTAACAAACTCAGATGAAGTATTCTTTGTAGCATGTAGCTTCCAGAAGTTTCCAACTGCTTGGTTATAATGCTGATGTTTCATCTTTGGGTAGAGACTCAATATATCCATCTGCAGTGTGACTTCAATCGACCGGCATGTTTGTGTGCGTGTGTTTGTGGGTGTGCGTGTGTTTGTGGGTGTGTGTGTGTGTGTGTGTCTGGGTTACTGCGTCAGAGGGCGGGGCCTCAGGTTTGAAATCTCCCGGGTTTGCGCGTGCACGTGAAAAACTTTGTTTCGTTCGTACGTCATGGCGAAACACCTAATGAGTCGGTATCAAGGCGACTCGTTTGAAGCACTATGATTCGACTCTTTTTTAGATGAATCAACAGTTTTAAACACTGTATTCTTACAGATTTAAGCCTTAGCTGGATACTTCACTTCACTTAGAGCTGTGTTACACACTACATGGAGGGGAATTTTCAAAAACCCATAATATGGGCTCTTTAATACTGCTAAGTTTGTTGTACAAATTGACAAGGATTATTTGGCACCTTTTAACCTGTATATTTATAACAAATCAGTGCATACAATTCAACATCCAGATTTTTTGACTAACTGCATCTGTTTATTGTTTATCATCTTTTTTTCATATTTATTTTTTGTTGTCACTTGTCACTTTATGTACACTGGAAGCTTCTGTAGCCAAAACAAATTCTTTGTGTATGTGAAGCACACTTGGCAATAAAACTGATTCTGATATATATATATATATATATATATATATATATATATAAAAATGAAGAGTTTAGATGCAAAAATCTCTAAATGCCATCTGAAACTTTCCTCTAAAATAAGCATTTTTATCAAGCTCCTGTGTGTATGTTCAGTTATAACACTTTTATGAATGCTAATTTATATATCTTTGGTCAAGTAGTGTAAGTCACTTGTTTTGCTCCAAAAAATAACTTCAAAGATCATAACCTAAAGTATTAACTTGCTTGCAAGGCAGACAACAGGATTTAAAACTGCAGTTTATTTCACTAATTTAGCATTATGCTTAGCAAGATATATTCAGCTTTAGTACTGACAAATACAGTATTTCGAAATATTTGTACACATTCCCCATGCAGTACTACTATGGCCAACTCTGGGGTTTAAAGCACATGTTTCAACTGAGACAGAAAGAGCACTAAAGCTAAATTAATCGTATTAAACATTCTTTTACACTTTGCACTCTATTAAACAGTTAAATTTTAATTTTCCTTTTTTTTTGCAAATACAAATTTTAATCATATGAATAAAAAGGCAGCAAGACAAAATATACTAACATAAAAGTTCTATTTTTACACTAGATTTGATCAAACAGACTCTGATCAGATCAGCGGATGCAAAAATAAAATTATAATCTATGCAGTGATGTACATTACAGTCTCCAAAATAAATCAGTCTGTATTGATTACTCCTATTTTTCACAATAGCTTTGCAAGAATGTAGATGTATCGCCTCTGTTTGTAGTCTTAACTAAAGTCTGCCTTTTTTTCTGTTCAAAGCATTATTAATTGCAATATTCTTAATTCTTCACTATTTCATAAAGGTTATCATCAGATTTGTTTGTCATATTTGAATTCTCTTTAATGTCCATATTGACATAATCTTCTTCAGAGTTATCCGAGTTCACATTAATATAGTCCTCTTCTGCATCATCATCATCATCCACATTCACATAGTCTTCTTCAGAATCTTCATGCTTCATGTTTTCATCACACTCTGCATTTTCATAATCAGGCTCATCATCATTATCATCATCATCTTCATATCTGTTATTATGGGATGCACCTGCATATGTATTAGCTGGACCTAGTAGCAGTGTACAGAGATGAAGGTAAATACAGTAATTATTTCAGGAATATAATGTCCAATAAGTTTAAATGCAACTGATCACTATTATCAAAATACCTTTTTTAAAAGAGCACTTAGAATGATCTTCTTTCTTCTTCTGTCTCCTCTTAAGAGACAGGACGATGATGAAGATGGCCAGTAAGAGCAGTCCAGCTGAAAGTGCAGCACCAATGACAGCAGGAAGCAGAGATGCTGAGAGAGAAACACAAACACGGTTTGAGTTCAACTTTTATTAGCAGCAGTCCAGCTTGTGTTCAGACTCGTACACATCAGTACCTGTGATAGTGATGAGCAGCAGTTCAGAGGCAGAGGAACGGAAGGAGCGTGAGGAGACACGGACTTCATAAACACAACTGTAGTTTCCCTCATGTGAATAATCTGCCTCAGGAAAGAAGAAGGAGGCAGAGAGACTGACAGACGGCTCAATCCTGCTGATATTTGATTCTTTGAACAGGTAGAAGAAGCCTCCAGGATACTGAGATTTAGTGGAACAGGTGATAGTGAAACTGTGGCCTCTGGTGATCACTGGTCTCTGAGGGCCCACGACAAACTCGTCATCAGGAGCACTGGGAGAAATACTGGGCTGCTGCAAGTGCACTAGAAAACAAGAAACATACACTGATTGGGTTAAAGCACCTCAGGCATTAGCTTCAAACTGCTTTAAAAAGTTATTTTATTAACTGAATTTTGTCAGGGTTAAAAAATCCACACATATTTAACAGTAAAAATCTGCTGCACAAAATTCTAAATTAATCAATAAAGAATGAATTCCCTTTTATAAAGTGTTTGATCTATGGGCAGTGGGAGAAGACTCGACACACTCACCCACAGTGATGGTCACAGTGTTACTCAATGTTGACTTGAGGCTACTCTGGTAAGAGTATTGACAGCTGTATTCACCATGATGCGAGACGTCGACATTAAGGCTGAAAGTCACATTAGACACATGTGTCTGTGAGGATAAAGATGATCCATTTATGAAGAGCTGGAATTCAGCATTAGCACTGCATCTCGGTTTAGGTGTTGAGCATCTGAAATGGACGTTTTCTCCAGGAGAAACAACTGAATGTGTGGAGATCAGAGCAAGACTCGCCCTCTGCAGCTCACCAGCTAAACAAATAAGCATTTATTTAAAACAACTAGTGTCATGAAAACATGAAATTCATAAAACCTAATATCCCTAATCTTTGTACTTTTTTCTTACCATAACAAACAACACCAGCATCTTTGCTGTGATCACAGTTATGATTGCCCAGTCCACTGTGTGAGCACTGAGTTAGTCGTGTCTCGCTTCCTGTACAGTTAACCTCATCCAGCCAGATAGATCCATTGCCTGGACCAAATGCAGCACTATGAGGTGCACTAATGGCTGATCCACACTGTAACTGTCTGCACACCACAGCAGCATCATTCATGTCCCAGTTATCATTACACACACTTCCCCACACACCATTGTGGTGGATCTCCACTCGTCCACAGCATGAATCCAACCCATCGACCAGTCTAATGTCTGACAGTTGCACAAAGTCATAAACACAACATGATTAGAATCCTTATTTGGTTAGTATTTTAAATTGTTGAGAATAAAGCACAATTTTATTTATTTTCTTTTATTCATTTATTTTTAAAAAGAAAATATTAAATTAAATCTAAAGGTGATGACAGCAAATTACAGCAACATAATTTTGGATCCAGAGGAAACAAACATGATTTTACCTAAGCAGACAACTCCTGCATCTTCATGGTGTCCACAGTCATGTTCTCCAAAACCACGGTGTGAGCAGTTTGTGAGGGAGAATTCCTGTCCTGAACATCTGACATCATCCAACCAGATTCGACCATTTCCCTGGCCAAAAGAAGCCCTCTGTGGTGCACTGACAGCTCCACCACATCCCATCTGTCTGCACACCACAGCAGCATTATTCATGTCCCAGTCATCATCACACACGGTTCCCCACATGCCGTTATACAGGATCTCCACTCTCCCAGAGCATGAATAATTCCCACCAACCAATCTAATGTCTGACAGTTGCACAAATTTGAAAACACAACACAATCAGAATCCTTATCTAGTTAGTATTTTATATAGTGTATATATATCTACAATCTAAACATTGTTGAGAGCAAAGCACAAGCATTAGATTTTATCAAATTCCTTTTTATTCATATTTTGGTTTAGTTGCATTTAATTGTTTTATTATTTTCATTAAACAAGTAATAAATTTTCTTTTATATATATATATATATATATATATATATATATATATATATATATATATATATTTTTTTTTTTTTTTTTTTTTTAGTAATATATTTTCAGAAGACTTATCACTTTAATTATTAAGACAACATGATTTTAAAAAAACAAAAGAAAAAAATATGACATGAATCTTAAAGTGATGACAACAAAATACAACTACATAATTTTGCATGTTTGGAAAACAAACATGATTTCACCTTTTAAGCAGACAACTCCTGCATCTTCATGGTGTCCACAGTTATGTTCTCCAAAACCACGGTGTGAGCAGTCTGTGAGTGAGGATTCACTTCCTGAACATCCCACATTATCCAACCAGATCTGACCACTTCCCTGGCCAAATGAAGCACTCTGTGATGCATTAACAGCTCCTCCACATCCCAGCTGTCTGCACACCACAGCAGCATCATTCAGGTCCCAGGAATCATCACACACGGTTCCCCACACACCATTATACAGGATCTCCACTCTCCCAGAGCAGTCATTAGTACCATTCACCAGTCTGAGGGAATATCCTAATAAGAATACACAATAAAATGATAAATAATATAATTAAAAATATGTAACATACATAACTTGTAGACAATTTTAAACAGTAATTTTCACATCATGTAGCAGTGGAGTTAAATTTACTCCCCGGAGGGCTGCTGTCCTGTACCCTTTAGTTCCAACCCTGCTTTGACACACTTCCTGTAGGTTTCAAACAAGCCTAAGACTCAATTGGCTTGATCAGGTGTGTTTAATTAGGGTTAGATAGGAGTTTAACACCTGAGATGTAGAGTTTTAAAAGACTAAAAGTCCAATACTTTTAAAAAAGTCCAAAACTTACCAGTTACAGAAGTTAGAGCACTCGCTGTTGAGATAAAAACAGACATTTGACAGAATTACAATTAGATGTAAGATTTAGCACACATAATGTAATAACTGCATGTAATATAAGTAATTATAATTATTACATTATTATTATTCCTGTAAAGAAATAATGTAATGCAACTTTTCTCAAAACATAATATGATATAGTGAAAATGATAATATAATCATATTTTAATAACAATTATTTCATAATGAGAAATGCATTACATTATAAACTCACCAAAATATAGTCACATTGTTATCTGTTATCTTTCAATGTAAATCTATATAAAGTGGGTTAGAATAACCAGTGGTATAAGTAACAGATTACAAATACTCAAACTATGGTAATTAAGTAGCTTTACTCAGAAACTGTAATTTACTAAGAAGTTTTAAAAACATGTACTATTAATTTCCCTTAGGTACATTTATAGTGCAGTATCTGTACTTTCACTCCACTTCTTTCCTTCAACCTGCAGTCACTACTTAATTTTTTTATTTTCTAAGGGAATTAGAAAAATCAGTCCAGTGATTCCTGCAATAGTATCTGGATGCAGCCTTTATGATGCAAGCTGAGATTGCATCACTCAGAGTGATGTGTAGGGTTAGGGGTGGGGTTAGGTAAAAAAAAGCATTGAATGCAGCTCAGATTGCTCTGCACCAGGTCTGCATCCAGACCCCTCAATATCCCTCTTAATTCCTGTCCAATCAAAACACACATAAGGTAAATTGCATCATATTGAACTACCTCAAGACATGGGTGATTTATCATTGTAGCAAACTGTTAAAAGTGTCAAAGAATATGTCCAAAATCTTTTCATGCATTGACCCAGAGGCTCATGGGGATGTTACATTTTGTTTGAAAATGAAAATGGTGTTGACATCAGATTGACTTGTAACATTAATCAAAGGCTAAAACATTAATTTCATACTAAAATATCCTAACTATTATGTTCACTTAATTAGCATGTTTTTAATCTTCAGCTTGTTTTGTTGACATATTTCCAGCTACCTGCTAATGATGTTAGCATCATATAACTTCTTGTTGTTTTACATAATTGTTTTAACATAATGCTAGCAAGATGTTCATCCAGTAAGCATCATGCAAGCAACATGTTGCTGTCGTGTTTAAAGGAGAAATCCCTCATTGAGATTTCTCGAGTGTAAATTGTTGCTATAGGGCATGACTAGGAAGTGGTATCTAAATGGTTGATAGCGCATGGCTTTTAAGTCAAATAAGCCCACCCCCATGTCTCACTGACATTGCTATTTAATAATGATGATTATAGTGTTAAAAATGGCCAACTGTGAGATCTATTTGGGCAGTAGCATAATTAATTTCTATGATTTCATAACTTCATATGATTTAGTTATTTATTAATTTGTAAAATGAGAAAAGGAATGAATTATTTATCGGAGCAAACTCTTAAATAATATGCATGAGCTCTATTCGGAGTGGCTATTTGTATAGTGTAAATATAGCCTGCCTATTATATATGTAACATAAAATTGATTTCTAAAGTGCGTTTTCTAACCCCCACTGCTGCCATATGGTACCTATTCAATTTGTTTGGCTTGTGACCCTCTGATTTTTGAGCACAATTAATTTATATTATAAGTTTGATAGATTACATGCTGCATCCTTATTAATGTAAGATTTTTGCCGTGCTTTCGCTGCTGAAAAAACAACATATTGTGGTGAGGTAGGTGTTGATGCTGGTTTGCTGGTCTTAATTCAGATCATATGCTGGTCCTGAATCCTGACCATTGAGACCAGCATACCAGCATCTAAACATACCTAACCAGCATATGCTTTGTTTTTCAATAATCTGCAAAGTTGACTTGGATTGATTGGACACATTTAAAACATAATTAGTATGAGAGATTTTATAAATCCAAATGTAAAGTGATCGTATAAGAATCACTCACATCTTTTATATATTGAGGAAAAACAAAATGATATAAAAATGAAATAACTAAAATTATAATTTACTAAAACAATTTTTATGATAAAATGTTTTTTTTAGTTTTTTAGGAAAATGAAGAAATACTTTAAAGACAGTAGAATCTTATAAGTATTAGTAAAAGAATAATACAAATCCAAGTTTGAAATGTAACATTCAAATGAGTAATTTATAACAGTTGAAGTCAGAATTATTAGCCCCCCTGAATTATTAGCCCCCTGTTTATTTTTTTTCCCAATTTCTGTTTAACGGAGAGCATTTTTTTTAAACACATTTCCAAATATAATAGTTTTAATAACTCATCTCTAATAACTGATTTATTTTATGTTTGCCATGCTGACAGTAAATAATATTTGACAATATTTTTAAAGACACTTCTATACAGCTTAAATGGACATTTAAAGGCTTGACTAGGTTAATTACGTTAACTAGGCAGGTTAGGGTAATTAGGCAAGTTATTGTATAATGATGGTTTGTTCTATCGAAAAAATATATAGCTTTAAGGGGCTAATAATATTGACCTTAAAATGATGTTAAAAAATTAAAAACTGGTTTTATCCTAGACAAAATAAATCAAATAAGAATGAAAAATATTATCAGACATGCTGTGAACATTTCCTTGCTCTGTTAAACATCATTTGGAAAATATTTTAAAAAGAAAAAAAAATATTCCAAAGGGGGGCTAATAGTTCTTGTTTTATTTTTAAACAACTTAATTTCTGCCTGTTACTGTTCTTTGTTCTAAACAGAAGTCAGCTGTTCTTATGCTCTCAATTTCTTTTTTTTTTTTTTATGACTGCCAATCATGTCACAGGATGTAATCAGCTGAGTGTAACGAGGAGGCTGAGGCTTTGTTAGAATCATGAATAGCACTAATACAGGTGCTTCTATTGAAATCAAATGCCTATGCCAGTCAGTGTGACTGCAGTAGAAAAAGTGCAAGTTCATGTCGTGTCATTCTTCAAATTAGGAACACCATGTAAAAAGTACTCTGTTAACAATAATAATAATATTGTTCTTTCTCTTTTTCCTCTATAATCTTTTTGGATGTACAAATCATCTTTGAATCAACTAGATCTTAACTTTTTTCACAGGTGCAATTTCAGGATTTCCAATGGGCCAGTATGTGGGTTCAGTCACTGGTTATCAGTTGCTTCCATCATTCCAAAGTGCAAAATCTTTGTACTTGATTCACTTAAAGGTACAGCAAAGCAATGTAAATTTCTATCCCATTGGTGCTATGTATTATAGGCTATACTATGCTCAAGATTTTGTCAGAATTAGTTTTTTTAATCATTGCTGTAAATTAAATGTACAGTATGTATACTTTTTTGAGTAATTATATTATATTTATGTGGGATTCTTAATTGTTCTTTTATTAGTACCTGTTGTTTTATAGTGATTCTATTCAGTCTAACAGCAATTTCACAAAGACACAAGCTTGTTTGCAGATAGAAGCCCTGGAGGGGTAAAATAAGGTAATAAATAAATCAGCACATTGTCACGAAAAAGCTCTCCACTGAAATGAGCAGGAACATGTTACAATGTTGCTGGTATTTTGAATGCAACTTCATATGTAGAGAAAACCAATTAACAAATAAAGACATTGTTTTTCTCAAAGCACTTGCTGCAGAACAAAAAATAAATAAATTCACCCAGCAGAAATAAATTTGTTTAAAAAATACATTAAACACAAACTGCAGAGACAAATACAAGTAAGCCATTCATATGTTTATTGTTGTTATTTTATTTGTTATTTTTGTTTGATTATTTTACAGAATGCAGATGCCTTGCAACAGACGATAAGGTTTTTCATGGCAAGAATGGCAAAAACAAAAAAGTGATCATTTTAAAATGTGTCATGTTTTTTAAAAACAAATTTAATTTAAATTATAATGTTTGTATACACTTAGAATAATTTATATTATCCTAATATCGTTATATCTATTGTATTCTCAAGGATTGAAAATTATGCTACAGTAATTTTGCCCTTTAAATGTGAACAGCATCTTGTCGTAACTTCCTTCTTTCAGCTCTTAGTGTAAATATATCCCTTATATTAAAACATAGTGTAAAATCATACATATACCTTCTGCTAACATTTTGTTTAAATAGCATATACTGATAACACATAGTGTAAATTGCATCTACCATCTATTAACACTGTAGCATCTATTAACACAGAGCTGGAGATGAGGCGAGCCTAAAGTCAGCTAGAGCCAACCTTTCCCGTGGCATCAGAGAAGCTAAGAGACAGTACTCCAGAGGTATAGCCCATCGCTTTAATGACAGCAGAGACACACGGAGTCTGTAGAGAGGAATACAGTCCATCACAGACTACAAACCCCAACCACAGACCTGTGACAGCACCATCTCCCTGCTGAACGAGCTAAACACATTCTTCGCTCGTTTTGAGGCACAAAACAGCACCATTGCACAAAAGATGCCACCTCCCCCTGGTGACCAGGTGATGACTCTGTCTCCGGACAGTGTGAGGAGGTCTCTCAGTAGGATCAACGCACGCAAAGCTCCGGGCCCTGACAACATCCCAGGTCGTGTACTGAGAGACTGTGCATCAGAACTCACTAATGTCTTCACAGACATTTTCAACATCTCTCTAACCCAGGCTGTCGTCCCCACCTGTTTTAAAGACACTATACCATCATTCCGGTCCCAAAAAAGTCATCTCCCTCCTGCTTTAATGACTACTGTCCAATCGCACTGACCCCTATCATCATGAAGTGCTTCGAACGGCTTGTAATGCAGCACATTAAGTCTGTCCTTCCCCCCTCCCTGGACCCGTTTCAATTTGCTTATCGGCCCAACCGCTCGGCTGATGATGCCATCTCCACTGCACTTCACACAGCACTCACACATCTGGACAAAAAAGACTCCTTCGTCCGAATGCTGTTCATAGACTTTAGTTCAGCATTCAACACTATCATCCCCCAATAGCTCTCTCAAAAACTGCTCTAGCTGGGGCTGAACACCTCTCTGTGTAACTGGCTGCTGGATTTTCCTCACTGGAAGACCACAAGCAGTACGGGTTGGCAGTAACACATCCAGCACCATCACTTTAAACACTGGGGCCCCTCAGGGATGTGTGCTGAGCCCTATCCTCTTCACCCTGCTCACTCATGACTGTGCACCATCACACAACTCCAATCTGTTCATCAAGTTTGCGGATGACACAACTGCGGTGGGTCTCATCAACAAAAGCGATGAGGAAAACTACAGAAGCGAGGTGAGCCGTCTGGCCGAGTGGTGCAGAGACAACAATCTCTTTTTGAATGTGGAGAAGACGAAGGAGAGTGTTGTTGACTTCAGGAAAGAGCACACTCTCCATGCTCCCCTGACCATCAACGGTGCGACTGTGGAGCGTGTGAGCAGCACCAAGGTCCTGGGTGTACACATCACTGAGGATCTCTCCTGGACTAAAAACTCCACTGCACTGGCCAAAAAATCACAGCAGCGTCTCTACTTCCTCCGCAAACTCAAAAGAGCAAGAGCACCAGCCCCAATCATGTACACCTTCTACAGAGGCACTATTGAGAGCATCCTGACCAGCTGCATCACTGTGTGGTTTGGAGCCTGCAATGGATCCTGCAGGAAAACACTTCAACGCATAGTGAGAACAGCTGAGAAGATCATTGGTGTCTCTCTCCCCTCCCTCCAGGACATTTACAGCACACATCTTACCCGTAAAGCCCTCTGCATAACAGCAGATGCCACCCACCCAATGCACAGCTTCTTCAGTCTGCTGCCATCAGGGAGGAGACTGCGCAGTCTCCAGGCCAGGACCAACAGACTGAAAGACAGCTTCATCCATCAGGCTGTCAGGAAGCTGAACTCTCTCCCAGCTCTGCTCCCCGCTCCCTCCCCACGCACCTCCTCCCCTCACACCTCTGGACTCTGACACACACACACACACACACACACACACACACACACACACACACACACACACACACACACACACACACACACACACACACACACACACACACACACACACACACACACACAAACACACACACACTCATCTGCACTGGTCACTTTATGCAGACACAGCATACTACCTCCCTATATGACACTGTCACTTTATCACAATTATCATGTTTACAAGTTTTTTTTGCACTATACTGTTCTTTATCTGCACAACTCTGGTTTACTTTGCACTCACTTGCTATATGCCCTTAATGTCACTGTATGTCATTGTATTGTTTACAATTTTATTACCTATGTATATTTTTAGAACACATTTTAGGTATAATGTATATACTGTAAATTTAATTTTTCTTAAAACACTACTATTTTTTATATTTTTTTTATATTATTGTTAAGCACCTTGGGTCTGAGAGTAACGCAATTTCGATTCTCTATATGTCTTGTACATGTGGCTGAATTGATGATAAATATGACTTTGACTTTGATAAAACAACATTTACTGTTTATTAATATGTAGTGTAAATACCATTTTTTAACTCTGTAAATGTCATATACCACTTATTAATATGTAGTTTATAAGTCCTAGTGCAAACAGTGTATGCTTTATTATTAGTGTAAATAGTATCATACGTCTAACACTTAATAGCATCTAGAGAGAATATTGCATCTACCGTAAGTTTTTTGCTATACGTTGTGTAAATAGCATCTGATGCTATTTGAACTTAGTGTAAATGACATCTCTTGCTATTTCCACGAAGTGTAAAAAGCATCTTTTGCAAGCCACTCCCAGCATCTCTTGCTATTTGAACTAAGTGTAAAAAGCATCTCTTGGTAGCCGCTGCCACCATCTCTTGCTATTGCACTTAGTGCAAATAGCTGCTGCCTATTTTTTCACACCTACATAACCCACCATGAAATGCAAATTCAATGACAAAGAATTACAACTGCTAAATTAAATGGCAAAAATGTATTTGGTATTATTAATAAAGTAAATGAGAAATTTCTGACTCAAGCAGCAAACAGAGCAAAAAGCCATGTATATTTTTAAATGTATGGGCTCGTACAGCATGAATCCAAAAGCATGGTTCTGATGTAACGTTTGTTTCATATATTGAAAAATAACAATCACATTGTAAACATTGTTTAAAAATATGTGCTAGTATTTTAATCTGTGATTACATTATACATTGGCACAGTATGTGCAAAAATGTAATTGCATTAAAAATATATTATTACATTATGAGGTCAGTTAATTTCATTTTTGTAGCATGCAAACTGAGCATTACTCTTTACCCTTCAAAACATTACTCTGCTACCCTTCAAATGATAGCCTTCAAAACTCTACAGAGAATGTAAATATCATTGAAGATTTAACGCAAACTTCATCATCCACAGAACCAGCACCTAAGTTCAACATTACACAAATTATGATACAAAAAAATATTAATTTTCCACCAACACAAATGAAACCTTCTTTAAAACAACATTTATACTGTATGAAGTGCTAAATAAATAATGGTGAAAGTGTTTTCAAAATGAATATAATGTCACTAAAAACTTGCTTTCTGGTAATAGGCACTAGTAGTTTAAGAAAAACAAGTGGTACAAGCTTATTGAAAATATGAAAAGTGATTACAAAATAATGCTACAAAATCTTTTACAGTTCATCATAACATATCCTTTTTGCTCAAAGGATAAAATATTTGGAGAATATTAACACTACATGTAGGACAGTATGAAGAATGTCAAGACATAATAAAAATAGAAAAAATGTAATTACCCAATATGAAAATGAGCTGCAGTGATCTTGGCATTGTGTTGGTTCCAAGTGTCTTTTCATTAAGTGGTTACTTCCTTGTCTGTATGCTTTAAGAACTGAAACTCACACACCATAAAAAGATCTGCTTTTTTTTTTTTTTTTTTTTACCGAAACTTATGCAGTATTTTCAGTTTAGTCACACTTCTGAACAACATTATAGGACCTCTATCTATGCACAACTTTTAACATGCGGGATTTTACTTTGCAGTTAAACGAAAAAACTTTTATTGATATTTTAAGTTGTTTGAAACAATTATATTATATAAGAATTGAGAAATATATATATATATTTCAATTCTATCTATCTATCTATCTATCTATCTATCTATCTATCTATCTATCTATCTATCTATCTATCTATCTATCTATCTATCTATCTATCTATCTATCTATCTATCTATCTATATATATATATATATATATATATATATATATATATTTTTTATTTTTTTTTTTTTCTTTATTTATAGAACAGTTCTGTCTGTTCTTGAATCTGATTGGCTGATAGCCGTGATATATTTAAGTAATATCAGCACCCGTAAAGCCTCTTTACCCTTTGTGTATTACTCTGTTCACATACAACCAGCAAAAAGCAGACACTTCAGATCTAAAAGGGCCATGAAACCCCCTCGTTTCAGCAGGGTGTTTTCACACCTCTACTTTGGAAAAAGTCAGAAAAGTGGGCGTGTCCAGCTCTGTTTAGGGGGGAGTGTCGGAGGAACTAAAGTGGGAGGGTGTGGGAGTGTCTATTTGGGCACGCGCGAGTTTCAGTCAAAATACACACAGGAGAAAGTGATGGTGTTTAACCTACATGGACATCTGAAGTCGAATTATTTGCCAAATTATTAACTGTTGGACTTTAACTGCAGTTTGGCTCTTTCATTCAGGGAATTCATTCATGCCGCGTCTTTATGAAGAGAAGACTACAAGCGAATCCGGATTTCAGCGTTTGCAGATGAGAACAGCTCTCAGGTAAACAATGTTCCTCCTTAAACACGTATGTTATTGTTGTCGAGCGTCGCGTACACTGTAAATCCACACGTGACTCCAGCTGCGCTCTCACAGAGAGAAAATGAAAACGAAACTTAATGACAGCAAACTATAAAAGCAACACTTCACACTTGTTTTGCCAACACAACGTGGCGTCTCTGTGGTGTAAACACGGTGACACTAATGAATATTAATGAAGTTCCACAATAGAGCGCGCTGATTGGTTTGAACCAAGCCTTACTCATGCATTAATGCAACACACTGTAAGACGTAATAAGACTCACTCTGGCACAGACGTCCAGTCTGCACGCTGGAATACACGCTATTATGTCATGACCGTGACGC